TGTTTCAGGAAATAAACAGGAAGAAAAGAAGCAGGAATTATTGGACTGTAAAAAATATTTGTCAATTTAAGTGATATCACCAATTACTTTTGTAGCTTTTGGCATTTCTTTCTATTGACACTTGAAACGCTGAAATCACGGTACAGCAGACATGTAAAACTCAGGCCCGGGGGCCAAATTTGGTCCGCGCTATAATTATAATCTCATGGGAAATATATCTTATAAGTATTAGCGTTGGCCCACCGGCTACAGATGACAGGCTATAGACATTATTTATTTAAAATGTTGTCATTATTTAATATTATTTGTTCTGGATTCAATGTTTAAGCAAAACTATAATTAAACCTTTATTTTAATAAGAAAAAGTTTAACATTACATATCTCGAAAGAAGAGAAAACATGCAGATGTTGTTGAAAATTTTCAATAAATATTTAGTTTGGCTCACAACTTTTCAGTTTTTAATTTCGGCTCTCTGTGAATTTGAGTTTGACACCCCTGTGCTAGGGGTTCTACATGTATGTCTACAGCAGAATGTTCAGCAGTTACCTTGGTCACACTGTCAAAAAGTTTAAAGGTGCACAATTCTTCGGGCTGTGCCACCAGGAGCTTGATGTCAAGCACCCACCCCAGGTCTGGCTCCAGGGTGAGGCCCCGGTAACACCAATCTGGGGGACACACTGGCCTCTGTATCAAACTCATCATGGGGGCTTCTGAACCGTTCTTAGTCTGACCCGTCCCCCAGGACCTTGGGTCCCTTGGGTGATCCTACCAGAGGCATGAAGCCCCTGACAACAAAGCTCCCATTTGGGCACTCCAACCCTCCACCATGTTAAGATGGCGGTTCAAGGAGGGGTCCATGTAAATGTTTTTTCCTGGAATGTTCTATGGTATGGCATTTCATCAACTATCTCCATGGAGACAAGCAGCACACATCACCAGGCCACGTTACAGGTCAGATCTGTGAAGAAGTGGGCCAGATCACAGTAATAATGCATGTTTTTGTGGTAGTTTTGAGAAATAAAAAATATATATTTATATTTGTTTAATGCCATACTGTGGAACATCCCAGAAAAGCAATGACATCACCATGAGACGATGGCGGACCCCCCACCAGAAAAGTTACACAGTGCACCTTTAAAAAAAGAAGTCTGAAAACAACAAATTACAGAATGGAATGAAACAGCACATTTTCAAAAACATGTGATCAATAAAAGTGTTAATGGTTCTGTTTAGGAGTTTGACCTTAAACAAAAAAGGTAAGAGTGACAAACTGAAAAACTTTTGGCTAACAACTTTTCAGATTCAAGCAGCTAAAACCTGGAACAGTTTTCCTGAAGATGTGAGAACGGGCTTCTACTTTGACTCTGTTTAAATCCATACTCAAAACATTTTTGTTTAACAATGTGTGTGACCAAAAGGTTTTCATTTTTCATTCTGTACTCTTCTCTCTAATTTAGTCTCTCTCTCTCTCTTAATTTGATGATGATTATTTATGTTTTGATTTGTTTGTATTGTGATTTTAATGTATTTCTTAATCTGTAAAGCACTTTGATTTACTTTCTGTACAAATTGTGTTCTGCAAATAAACTTGCCTTCCCTAATGCTAACTAGCTTGTGACTGTAATGTTATTTGAGATGGACTTGTTCAACAGAATCTCGCAGTTCTTTCTGATCAGATTGTTTAAACATAAAGATTAGATTAAAGTCTAACTAGAGTAACTGAGCTTCAGACAGAGCAAGGGACACCTCAAGATTCTCTAGCAGTGGTAGAATCCACAACTATGTGTGTTATTCAATCCATTATGGGTGTACAATAATAATTAATTACTTACTTACTTAAGTTTTTGTTTTGTTTTGACATTTATAATCAACACTAGGAGATGGTAAACTACTTAAAAAGCCACTTCGAGCACCCTGAAGACACTCTTGTGAGCTTTAAGCCATGTTATAATGCTGTTATCTCATCAAAAACAGACCTGATGTTGTGTTTGTTTCATTTACACACTTTTATTATTAACTGTCTACATCTCCAAAGCTCAAACTGCTCTGTTCCACCTTGTGATGTCATGAAGCGGTGGATTTTAAGTCAGCAGCTTCCCTTTTGCCTTTTGTTTAGCAGAAATTGTCAATTCCTAGGACTGAAATGATCCAAATGATTCTTGTGAAGGTGTATGGAGTTTAAAAACACAGAGGAGCGCTTCCTGTATTACCTCATGACATCACAAGGTGGAACAGAGTAGAGAAGAACATGTGTGACTGAAACAAAACACAACTCCAGGTACGTTTTTGGCCAGGAAACCACATTATTACTCAAAACTACTGCAATATAAGTCGTCCCTAAAAGTAGTTAAGACTCGTACAGCTGCTCGAGGTGAAACTGCAAGATTTCACATCCCCAAATAAACGATTCGCCTTATTCCGATTGCCAATTCTAGGATTATTTCTTCCCCAAACCACTTCATTTGATTCCATGATTGCCTCTTCTAAAAAAAAAAGTGAAAACCCCGCAGGCCACACGAGCCCCTCCCACTGTCGCCGCACTGTCCCATTACCCCCCAGGACCTCCGCTGCCCCTGGTTAACCCCTGCATATTGCTTCATATTGCTTCATATCGAGCCTTCTGGACACAAACGAATCTCTACGCTACAAAAAGTCATATCATAAGAACATTTTAGTTTGAGTAGATTCGACTTCATAAATAAAACGATCTACCAGTGGAATACGTTTGCCTTTCTTAAATCAAACAGCATACGATTTTGTTTCTTACTTTAAGTTCAAAGAGTTGTTGTTTTTCTTTTCTTAAATGTAACAAGATGTATTTTCTTATCTTAAGTACAATACGTTGTTGCGTTGGCAGATCATTTTACTTGTCAAGTGAAATTTTTTTGTGTTTCTTCATCAAAAACAGAGCTGGGGTTGTGTTTTGTTTCATTCACAAATGTTTGAGTAACTCTTTATTATCAGTCAGTCTACATCTCCAATGCTCTGTTCCATCAGCTCCTTTTACCTTTTGTTTTGTAGAGATTGAAAATTCCAGGGCTGAATTTATCCAAATGATTCTAGTGAAGGTGTATGGAGTTTAAAAACACAATGGAGCACTTCCTGTATCACCACATGACATCACAGGGTGGAAAAGGGTGTTTTGGTCTGAGATAAATATGGAGTATGAAAGCTTTCAGAAAAATGTGTGTGCATAGGATAGAAATCTGTGCTTCTTATGGCTGTAGTTGAGCATAAATAAATGTTTGTCACCTTCTGGTTTAGACGTGGTTTATTTTTTAGTCCTGTTTAGTCCTTTTAGTCCTGTCCTTTCAGTCCTGGTTTAGTCCTGTTTAGTCCTGTCCTGGTTAGTCCTGGTTTAGTCCTGGTTTAGTCCTGTTTGTCCTTTAGTCCTGGTTAAGTCCTGGTCCTTTCAGTCCTGGTTCAGTCCTGGTTTAGTCCTGGTTTTAGTCCTGTTTAGTCCTTAATCCTGGTTAAGTCCTGGTTCAGTCCTGGGATCTGTCCTGTTTTAGTGCTGGTTTAGTCCTGTTTTAGTCCTGGTTTAGTCCTGTTTAGTCCTGGTTTAGTCCTGGTTTTAGTCCTTTAGTCCTGGTTCAGTCCTGTTTTAGTCCTGGTTTAGTCCTGTTTTAGTCCTGGTTTAGTCCTGTTTTAGTCCTGGTTCAGTCCTGTTTTTAGTCCTGTTTAGTCCTGGTTTAGTCCTGTTTTAGTCCTGGTTTAGTCCTGGTTCAGTCCTGGTTCAGTCCTTTTAGTCCTGGTTTTAGTCCTGGTTTAGTCCTGTTTTAGTCTGGTTTAGTCCTGGTTTAGTCCTGTTTTAGTCCTGGTTCAGTCCTGTTTTAGTCCTGGTTTAGTCCTGTTTTAGTCCTTTTAGTCCTGTTTTAGTCCTGTTTTAGTCCTGGTTTAGTCCTGTTTTAGTCCTGGTTTAGTCCTGTTTTAGTCCTGGTTTAGTCCTGTTTTAGTTTTGTGTTAGTCCTGGTTTAGTCCTGTTTTAGTTAGTCCTGTTTTAGTCTTGGTTTAGTCCTGTTTTAGTTTCCTGGTTTAGTCCTGTTTTAGTCCTTGTCCTGTTTTTTAGTCCTGTTTTTAGTCCTGGTTTAGTCCTGGTTTTAGTCCTGGTTTAGTCCTGGTTTTAGTCCTGTTTTAGTCCTGGTTTAGTCCTGGTTTAGTCCTGTTTTAGTCTTGGTTTAGTCCTGTTTTAGTCCTGGTTTAGTTCTGTTTTAGTCCCGGTTCAATCCGTATGCGGCACAAACGTCTCGCGTCTCGATCGATGTTTCTTCTGCTCAATAAAATGTGTGAAGTGATGATGTGTTTTTGACAGTCGACTTTGCTTCTGTGAATTCCTTTTCGTACTGAAGAAAGCGTAATTGTAAATTCTCATTTCATGATTGTAATTCTTGACGTCGTAACTCTTCAATTCATATTCTGATGGATAAAACACACACAACACGTCTTATGTACGACTGGACTCATTTGAGAGTTTACGAATATTTATTTTATGCTCAACTACAGACAAATATGCACAGATTTCTATCCTTTGCACACAAATATTTCTGAAAGCTTTCGTACTACATAGATAAAACGTTTAAAAATCTTTAAACATGTGGGGTTTGTTAAGCATGTGTGAATGAAACGAAACACAACTCCAGGTATTTTTTAACGACGAAACAACATTATAACTTTAAAGGTGCATTGTGTAACTTTTTGTTGGTCCGTCACTTTTTTGCTTCAGTGGAAATGTCATTGCTCTGCCTGGAATGTTCCACAGTATGACATTAAACATCTCTACTTTACATTTATTCAATTACAGGTGGTTTTATAACTCAAAAATACCTAAAAAAAATAAACTGTCATTCCAGGAAGATAGAAAAGTTTAAAGCCACACTGCGAAACATTCCAGACAAAGCAATAACATCTCCACGGAGCAAAATTTGTCAGACCCTCCACCAGAAAAGTTACACAATGCAGCTGTAAATGAAGCGTTTATAAATGAGTGCGGCGCTCTGACCTCTGGCTCTCCACAGTCGCACTCCTCGCCCTCCTCCACGTAGCCGTTGCCACATTTCTGACCCCCGTAGAGGACTTTGATTTCGGGCATGTTAAAGAGGCACATGCCCACGCCCTTCTCCAGGCTGGCGGACAGGTCCTTCTTACTGCAGCTGCTGAACACCGTGGGGAACGGGTACCTGAAAGACAGATTTGAAAAAGAAAATCAGCGGATAATATTTCTCACAGATTTTACGAGGTCAGAATTTTGAGATGTACAAGCTGCAATATGAATATAATCTGGCCTTGGCTCATATTATACTGTTTTCTGATCGATGTTGTAATGTTGTTTCCTGATCACAAACAGACCTGGAGTCGTGTTTTGTTTCATTCACACATGTTTAACGCAAAAATCTGCATATTTAGGTTCTTCTCTCGAGCTGAAAACACTCTGTTCCACTTTGTGATGTCATGTGGTAATACAGGAAGGGCTCCACTGTGTTTTTAAACTCCATACATCGTCACTAGATGCAATACATACCTCGATACATAGGCCACGATACGATACATATCTTGATACAGTGCACTTTCGATTTGATACGATGTATTTCAAATCAATTCGATGCCGTTCAATAAAAATAAAGGCTTTAAATCAGGAGTGGGCAAACTACGGCCCGGGGGCCATATGCGGCCCTTTAAACCTTTTAATCCGGCCCCGCCGAACTGGAATAAATTACAATAATAAACCTTGTTGATGTTTTATTTGGCATGCATTTCCGGCGTTTCCCAGTAGATGGCGCACTATATATAGTGACTATAGATAGTATAATTTGTCTATAAAATTGTTATAAGTACACCTGTGCGTAACACTGCCACTTATATGACGCCAACAACACGCTCGCTGGTTTACTGAAGTAGCAGTCACAAAGTTTGTCTCTTTATCTCCGTCTCTCTCCGTCTGTCTTCTCATCCCTGTTAAATATTTTTTCATGGTGTCACACTGAGGGTCTGTCTGCTACACTTCATGTCTACACTTCATACTCAAACTCTGTGCTGTGTGCAAAGCGCGCATGCTCAGTGCAAACAAAACTCCTACACCACCGAGCGAATGCTCCCTGCGCACACTCTGCCAATGAGAGTGCTCTGCCCCCTAATGTAGTGGAAGTGCAATTGCACTTTATTCTAAAGGCCCGTTCAGACCAAAGCGTCAAAGCGTCCACTTTCTATGTAAAGTCTATGTGGACGCGCGACTAGAGCGTCCTGCGTTTTTGCGGCGCGTTTTCGGCGTCAGCGCGGCGCGAATCTGGCGTCAGCGGCCAAGACGCGCGTCCAAGGCGTCAGCGTCAAGAAGTTGAAAATGCTGAACTTTTCGCGTCAGACGCGCCGCGTCAACCAATCAGGGACGAGTATCCAGAGACGCAGCGTCGTTATTATCAGGAAGCAAGACCCGAGAACCAGAACGAGAACCACAAACATGAACGGAGAATAAATATATACGCCACAATCACCGAGCCGATCGCGAGGACTACACCAGGACCGGACCAGGACCAAACCAGGACTAGACCGAGACTAGACCGAGACTAGACCGAGACTAAACCGAGACTAAACAAGGACTAGACCGGGACTAGACCGTGATTAGACCAGGACCAGACCGGATAGACCGTGATTAGACCCTAGACCGATAGATTAGACCAGGATAGACCGGGACTAGACCGTGATTAGACCAGGACTAGACCGGTATTAGACCAGGACTAGACCGGGACTGATCCAGTGTCATTAGCGGAGTAGAAATATATATACGCCCCAGTCGTCGACCCGATCTCCTCCGTTGATGTTTTATGTCATAAAAACACTCATTGTTTCGGGAAAAGAGCGGGACCGGGCTCTTGTTTCCAGGGCAACGGACGCGCGTCAAGTATTTTTGTCCCGTTCGTCCACGGCGTCAAAGATGCGCGTCGGGGGGCGTCTAAACTCAAATGCAAATGCTCCAAATAGAGGCGTCAAGGCGTTTTTTGACGCGTTGGTGTGAACGGCCCTTAAGCAGTAAAAAAATAAAAATAAAAAAATAAAAAAGCATGCTCCCCGAGGTCAAACGCGCCCCCTTGACGGAGCCTCGCGCCCCCCAGGGGGGCGCGCCCCACTATTTGAGAAGCACTGCTTTATGGGAAAGTGTTCTTATAGGAGTTATTCGGACCATGAGTGAAGTAGTGGTGTTCAAGATATAACCTTGCACTGCTTCCATTTTGAGTTGGCAAAAATCAAAGACAAGAACTTGATCGATGTCGTGTTGTTCATCTTAACGTGTGGATCGTCTTATGATTTTTGTTGTGCCGCACGTGTATTTGTGGTGTGGGTTTTGTTTCTCAGTAAAACACAGTCACTTGCAATTCACTTTTGCCTGTGATATGTAGTGGAACAGATTTGTTAATTTAAATACATTCTGGATTTTTCGCGGCAATGTCGTAGCGCATAGTGCGTTTCCTACATAAGCGTAAATACAAATAAAATGCAGCTGAGCTCTTTACACGTCGTATCCTGTGTTCTCTCCGGCCCTTCATGCAAATTTTAGGACCCTATGTGGCCCGCGAGCCAAAAAGTTTGCCCACCCCTGCTTTAAATCATGGCTGTGATACTAAAAGTCTTTGTTAAACCACGTCTTGTGCAAAGTTAACATGAAACACAAACATTCTAAGCATCAAAAAAGTGAAAATGTGAAACGTGTTCCTCTAAACAAGCTACATAACTGGTGCCATCTAGTGCCTTCGCCCAATTTCTGTCACAGTTCTGCCTTTTTCTTTACTTTTTTCCCCCCAGTCCAGTTCCATTTCTGAGTCTGTTCCGGCCCTCCTTTTGCCACCTCCCTCCTTTCCCTACAGCTGCCCCTCATTTTGTAATCAGCCCAGGCTCAGTCTATATATACTCCCTCTTCTCCCTCAGTTTTTGCCAGATTGTCTACCTGTTGAGACAGACATTCAAGCTCCTGAAAACCCGAAATCTGAAAACCCTGTGTTCCCTGAATCTGATCTGTTTGTGACTGATGCAATTCTGAGTTTCCCTGTTTGTTGTCCCTGTTCCTGAGTTTCCTCCCAGTGTGTTTTTTACTAGTGTATTCCCAGTCTTGGAAGATATTTTCATTCACATTTAATATCTTATATTCCTCTGTAATATTTCCAGTCTGAGTTGTCATTATTAACATTTACTGTTATAGGACACTTTCTGTTAAGATAAGATAAGATAAGATAATCCTTTATTTTTCTCCCATGGGAGAAATTTGTCTTGGGACAGGGGGTAACATGTTTTATCAAAAAACAGGACAACACAACACAAAGCAGCACATAAACAAACACCATAAAACAAAGTAAATATGAGGCCAGTATGACCACGAGTGATGCACCAACAGGACCCTTAAATTATCCTTAACAGGCAAACCCTTGCATTCTTCTGTTCTATTAATTATTGCACATTCCCTAAGCCTATGTGCAGTTTTGATTGCACATTCCCTAAGCTATGTGCAGTTATAATTATTGCACATTCCCTTAGCCTATGTGCAGATTTAATTATTGCACATTCCTTAAGCCTATGTGTAGCTTTAATTGCACATTCCCTACACCTATGTGCAGTTTTGATTGCACAATCCCTAAGCCTTTTATAATTATTTTTTTAACTGCACTATCTGAGTTTAGCAGTTTAACAGCTAGTGGCACAAAAGAATGTTTGAATCTGTTCAGTTTACAGTTTGGGACCCCGAACGTTCTGCCTGATGGCATCAACTCAAACTGACTGTGAAGAACATGGGTTGGGTCATTGATCACCTTCCTGCTGAGCTTCCTAACAGTCTCCTCAAAAATTTGCTGAAGTGAGCTTGGGGCCACACCCATTATTTTACCTGCTCTTTTAGTCAAGGTAAAAATCTGTGCTTTAAGTTTGACTGAGAGGTTACCAAACCATGTTGACATGCCATAGCTGTTATTTAAATAAGACTTTGTTTGCCTGAGTACTTGTGTTGCATTTGAGTCCAATTTACCGGCGTGATAATTTCATTTCTCTCCAGTGATTAGGTCAGGAATCAGAATACACTAGACGGTTTGCAAGAACCCCAGAAGTTGTAGACAGCGCAGCGGCCAATCAGTGAAGATCTGTGAAGCCATGACGTCAAACTCAAGCCCCTGTCTGGGTCCCTTTTATGGTTCAGCACAACAGTAAATAAAGTGGTCGAGATGGATGTAGACGAAGACAGACATTCTGTGTTGGCAACGATTCCAGAGATCGAGGATTTAAAGCCGGAACAAAGAGAATGTTTGGTGAATTTTATCAAGGGGAAAGACGTTATTACCCTTCTTTCTACAGGATTTGGCGCGTTACATACGTCACGACCAAATAGCAGCGATTGGTTAAATAAAAAAAGTACCTGCCTACCATCGAGCGAATGAATCCTAATGCTGCGAGGTCAGACAGTTTCCATAGCTGTTAACTTGAAAACCACCGCGTAATGACATCACAAGGTGGAACCAAGCATTTTAAGCTCTGAAGCTGTTACTAAAACAAGTGTGAAGGAAACAGAACACGACTCCAGGTCTGTTTTTGACGATTTAACAACATTCTAACACAGCATAAAAGAATCAATTTTGCGTAATATAGGACATTTCAAGATGGACTGTGTACATTTTCTGGTCAAGGATACACTACTTGCAAATATTATTGCTTTGGGTCAAATGTTCCATGTTATGGCATTAAACAGACAGTATCTATTTAATATTTATTTGAAAACAGGTGCTTTTATTAAATAGAACAGCGCTGAAAAAGCTGTGTTCGTAGTGTCATCTCTCCAAAATATTTCATTCTAATTTGGCAAAGTTGCGCCACTCGGTAGTTTCCATGGAGATAGACAAGTTAATGCCATGCTGTGGAACATTCTACACATGGCAACAACATCCTCACGGAGACAAGTGAGCACGAAAAATTACATATTGCACATAGATGTTTAATTTTATCTCATTTACTTTCCAACATCAAAGCGAAAACTGTGGGTTCATTTATTTTTTTATATATATATGAAACTGCAAACGCTAAACCAGGACTTAACCAGGAGCGGTCGCCATAGAAACGAGAACTAAACCAGAAAAAGCGTTCAAATTAAACCACAAAAAAAGGCGATCTGTGCACCACCTTTGAGACATTTTAACGTTTACCCAACCACTGT